GGAGCATATATAAAATAGATATAACGCCGCGCCCGAGTCGTGAGCTTGCAGCGAGCTTTAGCGGCGCGCCGACGCATAAAACAGAGGAATTTTCCAATCCGCTCGATTCGAGGAGAGCCGTATATACAGTGAGTCTCGATCCCAAAATTCACCGTACACATGGGGGGAGAGAAGATTAAGTAATCCGATGGAAAATAGCCTCGGATTTAATTCACCGAATCTTGGACGATCTTTGTGTGTATGTGTGCGTGAGTATGCTGCACGGTGCACAGAGTGATACAAGAGCACGTATGAGTGCACACGCAAGCACACACACGTGGCGGTGGTAAGCAACAGCAGAGATTACACGGAATTTCTCAAGGGGCCACAAATCGCACATCCCGTGGGTCTTTGCGCGCGTTCGTTTATATATATAAACACACACATACGCAACACAACACAAGAACGGCAGAAGCAGCATCAGCATCCCCAGCTCGTCGTGTGCACGCTCGGCTTAAAGGCTGCAGCACGCGGGGGCGGGTGCAACGTTTCGCCTTTAGATATACCCGTGCATGATGTGTGCACATATCAGGGTTATATATAATAAACTCACTTTGTCGAGAGAGAGTAAAGCAGAAGAAAAAGAGTCAATAAGAAAAAGAAAAAAAAGGGAAGATGCTGCCGCTTCGAGATACATACGCACGTGCAGAGAGAGAGAGACGGACGGAATAAAGTCTAGAAAATTGGATATTTATTTGCCCACTCTTGGCGTCGATTTCTCTCACTCTTTTTCCTATCTTTGGATGTGCAAGAGAATATTCGCCTAGAGGTAGCAGCAGCAGCGCACGACGCGATACGCAGCAGTATACAGTCGAAATTTCATGCAACTCTGAGTTTTATCATTAACACCATGGCTCGAGCTTGCGGTGCGTGGGCTCGACGCATCATCGGCTTTGATCGTTAAGCGTGAAATTGTGTGTACCCGGAGAGAGCTTTCGCATTTTTTCCCTCTTTTTTTTTCTTTATTATCAACGCGACCGCGCGTGTATACACGAGCGCTTGTGCGTGCGTACTATACATATCGATGAATTTAAACGCGAGATTTATCGCGCGCGCTGCCTCCGACTCTAGACTCGACAGATTTTTCGTAAAAAAAAAAAAAGAAAAAAAAGAGGAATATAAATAAAGGTACGAAGCAAGGCATGGAGGAGGAAGAGGATTAGAGCTTGGCAGAGCGAATTGCGAATTATAATTAGTCATAACTCTTGGCCAACATGGCATACCCGCGCGGGGGTGCTCCGTAGCCTAGGTACGCGCAGCTCAGCCAGGGCATTGGACACGACTCCATCAATTAGCGACGCGGGCCGCAACGCGCTAACAATGCCAAGCGTCATTATGCGTTTATGCACGCGTGACGTTGGAGTAACGGCTTTAAATGCATGCATACGTTCACAACTAGTGCGGCAGTGGTGTTACCTATAGTAGATAGCAGCTACGACTGCTACCGTTACCCATCCAGCGGCATACGGATACCGCACACTCTAATTAAGGACTCGTCGTGGCTTGGCAGCCGCGCGAAGCTGTACACCATAGCCTATACTGTATAGGCTTTTACAAATAATTGTTTATCGCGTTGCAGCGACGCGTACAGTCGTCGTCCAAAAATAATACGTTGCAATTGGCCTCTGCGCGCGCTTCTTTGAACCCTCTCGGCTTCTCGCCTGGCGTGGCTGATTAAAATATAATTCGCGACTCGGAAGAGGTTTTGAACGCGCAGCTTTTTTTATTCTGTACATCTACGTTTTTCTTTCCAAGGCAACATCCTTCCTGTCCGAATAAAATGGCTATTAGATTTTTGGAGCCTTCAAAGAAGGCCCGAGAAAGCCAAGCTTCGTATAGTTCGAGGAAGTACAGTATACATGCGCGCGTGCAGCTTTTCAATCTCGAAACAGAGATAAGTTCTTTGAAGGAAAAATCGAGGGAAGCCTTTCTCTCTCTCTCTCTTTGAAGCGGATCGTAACGACGGCGATATTGCTCTGCGCGGACATGCTGCTGCTGCTGCTACTTTATAGATCGAACGCGACTTTGTATGTACGTATGTGTGTATACGCGTACGCTGTGTTGACTCTATGTATACGCGCGTATACGCTGGATATGTATTGACAAATTTTCGAATGATAAAAAGATTGCCTGCGAGGCTGGAGAATTTTTCTCTCTGCGCGCAAAGAAAAATAATAATGCCGCGCGCGAGTATACGTCCATGATGTTTTTTTATTTTTTATTATTATTTTTATATACACGTACGTGCATGTGCGTGGCCAGAGCACATTGGCGACGGATTACCTACGTGGTAGCAGCGGTGCACACACAGCTATATTATCGGATGAAAAATAGATTTGTACTTCACGGGTCCGAAAAGAGGGAGGAGAAAAAGTAGGAAGAGAAGGAGGAGGAAGAAAAAAACGAAATGTATATATATATGTACATCCCGCACGACGGCGATGCCGAGAACAGAAGGTATAAGCGACGACTTATGGGATATACGGATATAGAGAGAGAGACCGGGTGGTTATACACAGCCACGCACACACGGACGTATCCAAGTTGTATGTATATATGCCGAGAGTCTGAACGTTTGTATCGGGCGGACTACGGCGCTCGCACTTGAGTTATTTCATCGTGTACGCAGCAGTGCAGCAGCAGGAACGGCGGTGGCGGCACTGGTGGCCCTTGCATTTGATACTTTAGAACGTATGGATCTGTTCTGCGGGCTGCAGCTTGCGAGCTTGCACCACTGTATGCTACTTTGTACATATATATACAAGGGCAATTGTTTTCTTCTGTTTTTCCTTCTCTCTCTCTTTTTCTCTCTCATTTTTTTTCCTTCTTTTACGCACGGTCGAGCGATGATCGTGCCTGAAGCTCTTTTATTGCACTGGCACACGTTCGCCGCTACGAGAGAAAGAGACATAGAGAAGGAGAAATATTAACCGTCTCGAGCATTATACTCTGTGTTTCCGACGTTTATTTTTTTTATTTTTTTTTTTTCAAGTGAAACTTCTTTAGGCGCGTTTAGGATCGAGCCTATTCGTACTTTGAAAAAAGGCACGAGAAATTATATCGACGCTTAGTGTCGCGCCCTGTACTTGATGAATTTTCGGTACGCAACAATATATTTTCAGTTGTCTGGTCCGTTTTGCATCGAAAAAGAAGTATGGATTCGAATAAGTGAGAAATTATTATAATCAACATTTTAACGATTAAATACCAGAGACTATCGATTTACAATGTGATAAAGTTTATTTCATACGCTTGGTCGCCGAAATGAAAAATTACTTTTAAAGTCAATAAGCTACTGTATCAGTACTGCAAAAAGTGAAATTTCTTCATGACTTTTTGTAAGTATAAAATTGAAATAAAATTAAAACAAAAAATTAATATCTAAACAAATTTATACTTGCAATATTTTATTCATTTTTATTGTAACAAATACTGTTTAACAAAAGGACTTCACAGAAAAACGACAAACGTGTAAAAATTAGAAAGTAAAGAGTGAATGCTATGACTTGGCTATTCTTACCTCGAGTGGATCAACCTAGCGATCGGTTCATGAAGTTCGAAATTCTGTTTCTACGAAATTTCTGAACTTTCTCTCAAATTAGAATAATTTTAGTCGTCAATGGTAACGCAGAAGAAATTTTGTTGAATTGCATTAAAAGTGCATTCTGCTGTGTTGACCAAAAAAACGTAATTGGGAAAATTGTTGAAACTAATTTTAACTAATAGCATAAAAAGTGTATACAATTGGATAAGCGGCTAAAGGCACGTGATTATAAACGTAATCAGCTCTTCTTTCGAACTTGAACAATCAATAATAAACTATTTATAGAATTTTGCTTTTAAAGAGTAGTTTTGGCTTGTATCCGAGAAATTTATATACCGTTAGTCATTTTAACTATAAAATATGATAAATGTTTGCTCAATGCAATTATTAAAATGATCGACAAGTAATGAATTCAAACAAACGAGCCGCGCTTCGTCCGAATGATCCAGTGATTAGCTGTTCCACACACATAGTAAATACTAGTTTACGTTGCCGTTTATGGACACTCAAATAATATACAACTCATAATATCGCTGTAATACGGATAATGACTGTCCGGCTCATATCCACTCGCGCGAGACACGTCTTTATAACGCAATCGCGTACATTTACACTCGCGAAAGGTTCAAGGGTTGCTTCGTGAAATTCATGCGTGTCATATACGATAGACGTTTATTGAGCGTAAACTTGATTTTCCGCGGCAGCTGCAACAGCAGCAGAGGCGCACATACAGAATAATGATCTTTATTGGCTCGGATCAGTTTAGATAAATTGCCGTAATTCCATGATGCGAGCCGGCTTGTACGGGAATCAGCGGACGCCATCTCTCTGCTGGCCGTGTAACTCTTCAGTTATATACGTACAACGATAATGCAGATCAGTGTCGTTTATGCACGACAGAAAAGAAACATCCTCTCTCTGTACGCGAATGGCTTCTAAGAATTTCAATAATGTGGATTTTTTTTAATCAGCGGAGCAATATCAATTTCTTCGTAAACTCCAAATTTGTCGCGGCTTGTCGTATGTCGCTGACGAACAACACACCAACGTAACAGAGCATCTCGTGCGTAACACGACGATTCTTACGTTACAGCATCGCACTCCGCATAATAATACACATAACTTGTTTCCGAGTTGAATTTTTCGGCCATTACGATTATTCGTTGTGCGGCGCGGACCTTTGTGTGTCTATGTATGTGTACGTGTGTTATTACAATGCACACACGCATAGGCTACATATTTACGCACGGTCGGGAGGCGTCATTTACGCGATACATCTTCCGTCTTTTTCTCGCTCGACCGATGCTCGCAGGGCCGCTCTCTGACTCTCTCCGGCTCGACGCCGGTGCGTGCGCCGCGAACGACAGCGACACAACAACAAGACGCGCGCGGCGCTGCTGCTCAGTTATAATACCGAAAAACTGTTACCGAGTTCCGCGACAAACCAGCACCAGCAGCATAGCATACAGTATATAGCATAGAATAGGATAGAGCAGCTCACGCGCACCATTCGCTATCTACGAAGTAGCCTAGGCAGAACACAGTGGTACACGGCGTGTGTGTCTATTACACTCAAAATACAAGAGACCAGCACGTTTATACTCGAGCCGTTCTCTCTACGCGTTGTGCGTACTCTTCTCCTCGTATACACGCTTTATTGGTTAGTACAGCCGAAAGTCGCCAGCGTGCGTTCGATTTGAGACTTGAGCGCCCAGTAGTGCACGTTTTCGCATACAAGCATCACACACACACACCACAAAGTTTTTTTTACATAAGCCTCACGTCTCGTTGTTTTTCTTATTTTAAGAACAAATTTGCCAACATTCCGCGCAAAAGCAAAGTCATGAAGAAGAAGGAAGTTCAGGAGGAACAGGACTTCTCCAACGAGGAGGAGGAGGAGGACGTCTCGGGGGATGAATGGACACCCGCTCAGGAGGTAAGAGAGGCATGCCGTTGTAACCTTACACCGCGACATGTTAGTACTCGTAAACCGAGCCATTTTAACGCGAAAAAATGCATGTACGCGAGTATTACATTTCCAAACTAACTCGGGCGTTTATCGGCCTTTTGACCATAGTATAATGGAATGCGCGCAGGCCCACCTACTTATCAACATAAACTAATGACAAAATTCTAAAGCGGATTTTTTTGGACAAGCCGCGAGTCGGACGCGAAAATTTTCGTCGATTTGGAGCCTCGCGACCTATCGCGATCGCAGCCATTAATGCATGAAACGAAATTTCATCGTACTCGGCCTACACACAACGATACAACGCTAAGGGGGTGCGCGAACGAACGGCTCTTGTCACGCAAATTCATATTCATTTACAAAGGTTATGTGTCGAGACCGACTCCCCCGACATGTTCCTCTTCGCTTTTCAATTCGGAAAAATTACCGAGTGCGTTCACATGTATGATATCTCTGGATAGCCCTGTCGCTGTCTGGGAAAATTAATCATGGCTTACTTGGTCAGTTTTGCGCTATTGATAATCATCATCAAAGACGATTCGAGCGCGCGAAACGCCAATAATGTATGAAGCATTCGACTGCGGCTCAGGCACCGGCCGGTATACATACACTACTGTGTTGTATACGATACTGTATCGCCTCTATAATGGCTACCTGCGATCTCTCAGCTTGTTATACTTATCATCTTTCATGAGTAATAATACTCTTCTGCAATAAGCGTACTTGCTGATTTTTTTTTATTTTTTAAAAAATGTTTACCAGGGTGGTGGTAAAGGCCGACCAAAAAGAGTTTCTGCTGGTAAGAAACGTCGTGTTGAGGATGACGATGATGATGAGGATGAAGATGAAGAGGAGGAGGAGAGTGATTCAAATGGTTTGAAACACAAGAAAAAATCCCGCAAAACTGACGATGACGAGGATGAGGAAGATGAGGAAGAAGAAGAAGAAGAAGAGGAGGACGATGACGATGAGGATTCTGATGATAATTTTTCTAACACTACCGTACCAGCTAAAGACTTCACTGTGAGTATTGTTTTTTTTTTTCTAGACAAAATTATACCATTTAATACAGTGCCATATATTATTGTGAAATTATACCATTTAAAATTTATATTTTAGTCTGGAGCTTTTGTGATTTCCAAAGCTGATGCTGAGAAATCAGAAGAACCTGTTTTGTGGAGGATAGATGGTAAAGCGTTGTTGCAGAAATACTTACCATACAAAGAAAAAGGAAAAACCATGTACAAAAGCACATCGACAGTACGTATCTGAAAATCTCATTTACAAAAATGTCTCCAAGCTAAGATTAAAGTAACCTTTTTTCTTTTTAGTATTCCGGATGGTCTGTCAACAACAAAGACAAATACAATGCTGCTAGAGTTAATTTCCACTCACAAAATAGGATCCAGACCATAGTTGAACTATTACCACCAGGGTAAGAACATAGTCGTTGATATATTTATATTATTTATCCTTATTTCATTCTCTTTAACCAAGTTAATTTCCTTTTGGTGTATTCAGGCAAGAACCAGCTGAGAAACCAGAAGCAGAATCTTAATTGAAAAAGGAACGTTTGAATGTCCATTACAACTAATATATTGGCACCTGACACACTTGTTGTCTCAAATCAGAGCATGAGAGAGAGTTGAACACATCAATTTCAATCAAATTAGTTGAGTTTCTTTGATACAAACATTTTTTTATTTTTCCTTTGATAAATCTCTTTTTCTGTGACTTATTTAATGTCAAATCATGATTTGTTTAAGGACTTTCTGTTAGGAGTTTTGTATTCTTTAATGAATAGTTATGTAGTATTTTTTCACTTTGAAAATGAAATTTATTAAAACTCAATGAAACAGAAATCTGTTTTTGAAAAGTTCTGACATTTGTTTTTTAACATTCATCCTATAATTGAATCGGTCTCGCGTTGCACTTTTGTAACAAGTAATAATCATCCAAATTATTTGACCAAATAAATGAAATTTATAATGAATTCAATAAAAACTATCAGTGTATTCAAACTTGATTTTTTTTCCATTGTCACAAAGCCCACTACAAATATTTCTGAAACTATAATTGAAAAGCTTTACTGTATTTGATTTATATAGTTTGATTAGGCGTTATAATTGAAAATGGTCTCATTGTAGACAGTTTTTTGTGCAAGATAAATTCTAGGAACTGTAGTATTATTTTTCAGGTTTTATTATAAGTATTATGAAACATGTTTTTTATAATCTATCATTTACTAAAAGTTACAACAAATTTTAAAATTAATAACATTAATAAAATCACTAAATACACTTATAGTGTAGATTTTTGTGCAACATTCAATAGTTTTGATCTTAACTGAAAATTTTTCTGCTTCAACAACCATAACATTAATAAATATCAGTGTTCTCAAAAAAGACTGACATTTGATCTGCAATCACGATATTTCTTTGAGACTGAAACAAGATTAATTTCTTATAAGTTTTGTATCATTTGTTTTCGTTTCTTAAAATCTTGTCAAGATTGAAGAAACTTTCTATTGGTCTATGATTTTTCTTAATTGCTTTTATATAAACTTGTTGTACAAGGGAATGCTTTTATTTATGTTACAATATCATTAAAATTACTGCATTCACAATTACTTTGTAATTACTTTAGGCTAATGGAAGAATAGGCAGACGGTTATAGGCGCTTAGAGTTTAGGGTTACTTAAAAGAGTACACCCAAAAGATTTACAATTCCTATGGTCCCAAGTTACATTTGATTATCTCAATGTTAAAAGAAATTTCAAGCAGTAACTTAGTAAATTGACGATTGTCTCGACAAAAATAAAATTTTCAAAATCTCTACTTAGATATTAGGACTTTTTCTTGCTAGAGCTAGATAAAAAATTATCTTATTCTAGACTTTTTAACATTAATTCCAGAAAACTTAAGTATTACTTAGGAAACATTTCTCGCATGGAATGATACGGTTTAATAAAATTATCTCAGACTGTTTTTTTTTATAGCGAGAAGATTAATCTCCTAAACGATTGCGCGCGCGTGTGTGTGTACAAAAGTAAGTAACTAAATTAAAGCAGTCGATCACGAGTCTCACATTATACACGATAACAACGAATTCAACAACCAGATTCCATCCTAACCGACATCGCACTGTTCATCATGTTTCGCAATTCGGTTATTTCGACTCGGCTCTCGTTCACGGCGTCCTCGAGACTTTTGTTTTTCTCAATAACTTTATTCGCCGCTCGCCAGCACGGCACGTCTTGGATATCATCCGAGCCGATCCTCTGCTGCCTCGACAAGGTCTTTTTCGCGTTATCTTCGGGCGTCGAACCTCCAGTCGATCTAAGAAATTTATCGTAACTGTCATTATTGTCGACGTTTCGTAGCAATAATAAACTTTGGCATACACTGGGAGCCTTCGATACGATCGGCGTCGAGGTGTGCGACGGCCCTACATCATCTTCGTCCTCGTCGTCATCATCATCATCGTCGTCATCGTCGTCGAGGTCGACTATGTCATCGAAAGTTTTGCTAATGATGTGCTCGTCGTCGGCCGTGCTGGTCGTTGTGCTTTCCTGCGGCCTGGTTTGCGTCAAGCGCGACGGATTGATCTCCACGAGGTCGCCGTTTTGGTCGAATCCGTACGATCGTTCACCTGTAATTGGCAATAAAGAGTCATTAATATAAAAGCGCGCTGCTGCCGCTTTGTTGAAAGTCGCGTTGTTTGACGTGCGACTCGCGCGCACGTGACTGTTAATTATTAAAAAATTCGTCAAATAGATAAAACTTCGCCGCAGCCGCCGCAACGATTGACGTCAACGCATCATTCGAATTTAGTCGCGACGTGTATTGACACAACAGATACACACGTAAGAGGCATACATAATTTTTTTTTTCGTGGGTTTCCTTACCGATGATCATACGCTTGTTTTTCAAATCCGGACTCTTCGATCTTGGCCTGTTGAGGAACGATCTGTTATCGGGCGACAGAACCGAGAGTCGATCGGGATCTTGGTTAGGCAATTCGCTAAAGCTATTCTCCTGGAGCTCTTGATTCTCGTGCTCGCGCAATCTTTGCATGATTTTCTGGACAATTTCCGAAGGCGCTACATACGGAGAACCTGTGAAAAAGATGCGCTCGTTGTGATTTTCAGGTTTGTTAAAAGAGAAGAAAATGTAAAAAAAAAACAACCAACGCGGAAAAAATAATAATCTTATCGAAGCTTTTTTTGACATAGTACAGCTTTTAGTGTACGATACAATGGAAAAATACATATCTTGTTTCCTACGATTGTTTTTATGTAAAAAAAAGGCTAAAATCAGCGGCACAAAATTTTCAAAGCGTGTGTGTATGTATAAAGCAAGAACAATGCCAAGCACGTGAGAATGAAACAAAAAAAACAACAACAGCAGCAGCAACAACGAAGAAAGCTTGCAAGCGTCAAATGTACAAGTTACAACAGCGGTTTACACGCATAACGAACACACTCGTACGCAAAATAAATTGTCCATAAATTACGGGCGCGAAAATAGCTCGCGCAAAGCAATCGATCAAGAGTTATACCATCGCGCGGCCGAGTCGCAACGAAAAGATGGATTTGTTACGCCGATCGAGGTAATGTAGTACATCAACAAATATAGAAACTAATAAATAACAGCAATCAATTTTGCGCAACGCGTCAAATGAAAATTTCAACGTCGTTCGGTTTTTTTTTCTTAATGCTCGAGGAAAAAAAATAGCTAGTGAACGTGAGGGTGCAGGCGCGTCGCGGTCGGCTTGCAACGTCGCGAAGAGCAGGGTACAATTTGTCATAGTTATATTTATAAATAACTATAAGCGGATTGCAAAAAAATGTTATTCCAAAAAAAGGAGAAAGATCGAGAGACAGACGGAGGAAAAAAAAGAAAAATGAGGAAACGGAAAAATTACATCACACAAACATCTATGTTATTTACACAATAAAAATAAATATATACATTTTCTCATAAACTTACGAAGTCACTCGGCCCAGAGTGTCGACGATTTCGAATGGGACGATGATTAGCCGCGCCTATTTCGCTTCCTATGTATATGTATACAAGCATATTTTATCATTATATTATTGGAACACACGTTGCACAGAAAATGAGAGTGAGAAAAGGGGTTGGTGGAGCTCGATATTTGATACTGGGTCATTGATCGGTTTTACTCGAGTCACGTGTGTGTGTGTGTGTGTGTGTATACAACCCATACGACACACCATCGATCCGTTATTGTTATGGTACGATCTCGAGAGAGAGAAAACAGTATATACATGTACAAAAAACATTGTCAATGGTTAGTGGTTTTTTCGTTTTCAATAGCAATTATTAGCACTGTTAGTAGAAGCTTTACGCGTTAGACCAATTTCACCATGTTTGTTTTTTATAAGATGCTCATTACAAAATCAAAGTCAAATGAATTCAGGGCAATAGTTTCTTATGTAAATTCCAAAAATGATAAATCGCCGTCGTTGTGCAACTCTACGCAGTATAACACCGGCCGCTGAGAAGAAAGTCGGAGATGAATAAAAATGGATATCGATCGAAAAATCGTTTTTCAATCTCCCCCTTGACGGCAGTAACAGCAGTTTCGTAATGGGCCAAATATACCATACACGTGGAGTAGAGAAACTCACCGGTCAGGCCTCGGTATCCGAGCGATGTCGAGTCCAGAGATTCGCTGGTCTCCTGCTGGTGCTTGACGAAGTCCTCGATGACGATGCCGCGTAGCCGGGAGGGCTGCAGAAAGCGCTTGGGTATGCGCGCCAGGGGCCCGGCCTGCTCGCTCGGGCCCTGCGCACTGCCACCGAAGCCGAGATTCATGAGGATCTCCTCGGGGTCCATGCGACGGTGCTCCAGCAGATACTCGACGCTGCTGCAGCGGCTACTGTCCGATTGGAAGCTACGATCGCGGGCCAATCTGTGCAGCAGGCAAGGCGCCGACGACGAATGAAACACAACGAGAAGAGAAAAAATAAAATAACGTGTTTATTTATACGAGTGGGCCGCCCACGATGTGCGTATATAATGCGTATATGCGTGCGTTGTATAGGTACGTTTGTGTGCGTGCACGCGCGGAAAGAAAATATTTGCACGGTGTGCTTTTAAAAGCTGTCCGATGGACTCTAGTCGTGGTTCGGACGTTTCGCGCGTGGAAAAAATGACACTATAAGAGCCTCTCTCTCTCCTCTCGACTAACTCGATCGGCTTGGTGTCTATCGCGTTGAATAAATATTTACGGTTTTACACCTCTGTCGATTATCGAAGATTGCGCAAATATGTTTACCAATAGACGCGATCGCTGCTCGATTCATAATCGTCGAGTTCCTCGAGTATATATTGTGTTATTAAAAAACTCGGGCGCAGAATAGATTTAAAAAAGCGCGAGGAAAATTCGCGCGCGCGGGGGAGCTGAAAATAAACCTCGCGATATACGAGCACGCGCGTGACACTGGAATCCAACCCATTTTTCTATATAACAATTTCTCCGCGAGGCGAGCGAGCGCGTGCGAATAATTTCGCCGCGTCGACGAGACGGATACACGAGCATTAATCATTGTATTATGTATCTACGCGCGGGGAGAGTGTTAGAGAGAGCGGGAGAGGGTACATAGCGATATTTGTTTCGTCAAGCGACGACCCGCTATCGCTCCTCTCTGTCGGCGACGATGACGAGCTTCGGCGTTGTAAATTGTCGAGTGATATATTTGACTTAATTTGCACAAGCATTACACGCACGCACTATATACGCGCGGCGTATTGTCAAGGTCTGCGCGAGTGCTTTTTTTTCTTTCCTTCCTGCGATCGTAAAGTTCCGAGTAAACGCGATTCGTTTTAACGCGCGCGCAAATGTATTATTTGCGTACATACACGCGCATAATTCATATTTGTCGACCGCAAAACTAAAAGCAGATTTTTTTGTCCAACTCTTCTCTGGCTTGTGCACGTATTCATGGAAAAGGCATTGACTCGTTTAGATTCGATGCTCTTTAGACTTTTGTCAAACAGTAGAATGAAAATTATAATCTAAAAATAGACGGTAATTGCTCTTCTTTAGAAGGAAGCAAATTGAGAAACATGTGTGTTGGCTGTGTTAGTCGTATGATCGACTCCATTTGATTCTCTGAGTAATTTGCACAAATGCTGATTGAACATACCTTGATACATTGCTTGGCCTTTCCACGATTATTGTGGGTGAGCTAGGAACTAATACAGGTGTCGAGACTGTCATGTTTGAGTTTTTAATGGAATTCTCTTTATCGACGATTACTGGTTCAATTGTGCTTGTTTCAGGAGTCGATATGGTATCCGTATCAACTGATACGCTGTGCTGTCTGACCAAGTTAGGTGATTTTCTTATAGGTGATGGTATAGAGTCAACCCATTGCTGCACTGGACTAGTGCGACGTCGCATTTCCCGGAAACTACGAATCCAGTGTGACACTCGTATATGTACCTCTTTACCAATTGCTTCAACTGCAATGCATAAGTTTAGTTCATTAAATGATAAAGCGTGCATTGATTTTCAAAGCATTCAAATCATCACACAAATCTAAGAAAACAAGTCAAAACATGATTTTAGATCTTGTACCTGAATCCATTTTTCCAAAATAAGCTGCATGAAACATTAATTAATGGTAAAAAAATTATTTGTCACTTAACGAATAAAAAAACATTTATTTACAATTTTTCACATAAAAATAATGTAAGTCATCTGAGGAAAAAATAAGAATTTTTTGTCTGACTTTACTTCCTTCATTAGAATTCTCATTGCATAAAGCTTCTGATATGTCGAACATGTGACAGAAAAAATCGCGATAGAATAAAAAACGCAATCCTCGATTCATAAACATGTGACATAAAAGTACGAAACAGAAAAGAAATGTATCCTCTATCTACGCGTTGTGCACATATAAAAAAAATATACATTCGGCTTAAAACGTAATTCCATCTCGCGTAACAATGAGTTCTATGCGCATAACTTTCTCTATAAAAAAACGCGTAGTTACCCGAAAACGCATTGTACATGCGAGCTATGTTGTGTCTAACATGCGACCGTGGTTACATGTGTAAACAATACTTTGAAAAAATTACCTCGAATGTTTTCTGCAGTCGACAGCGAACGAGCACACACACATACACTGACTGGGAGATAGTATGGAAAAACTGCATTCAACTTTCGTGCAACGTGTTGTAATTATTTCATTAACACAAAAGTAAAAGAAAAGAAAAACAAAATAAAATAATAACAAGTATTGGCTAGGACAGAAGACGGCAGCACAGCTGCTCGCTGGTCGAGGTATCTCGAGTTACTGATGAAAAAAATACAGCGCAGAGAGCGCTGCGGCTGACACGAATGCGAGACACTTGTTAAAAAATGTACACGCACGCACACAAAATCATCTCTTGTATGTGTGTGTGTGTGTTAGTATATTCGCACGAGCACGTCGTATAGCGTTGCGCTTGCCAGCATTATCATGATGGTTTTTCCCGAGTCGCTGTGTGGCGCAGAGTCCAGCGCTCCAGCTGGCAGCCAGTGCCGTATAACGTATAAAGCGTGTATAACACGCAACTGTCACGGTTGGGTTGGCACCCACACTAACTCGCGAATCACGATATACTCTATACTACGTCGACTTCTCGAATTACAAAAAGGAAGAGTTTATTTTCAAAACGTAACTAATTCGGCACAACGACCCCCGAGGTTCTCAGAAAAGATTATTGGTCGCTTTATCGATCCAATTTATCAAAGTCTAGGGTTCGGTGTTTGATTGATTTTTCCCATTCTTTGTTTTTCAAAATTCATGTGAATAAAGATGAAAAATGTCGCTTCCATCGACTATTAATGAATTAAAATTGATGCATTGTTGAACAATTATTTTTAAAATATATATTTTGGCGTTATTCGAATTTGCCTCTGCATAGCGCTGTAGCGCTCAGAATTGGAATTATTAATTTGTCTCCTGTAGTCTGTAGAGTGGTCTGTGGACTGTTTTGTAGTCATGTAGATAGCGCTGTATAGGCCGAGATTATAAATGACAGTCACCTGTCAGTTGTCACCATCTCACCGAATGACCGAATACCTTAGACCGTCGCACCGAGCTATGCGCGCGCAGCATTTAGGTTGGAATTTCATATCGCAACATGTGCGACATCGGCTGCTTTTAGTGTCTCAGTGGGAAGAGTGCATAACCTTTTGCGAGTAGTAAATGATTGTGTTTTTGTTTCATATAATTAATTTAAAAAATTTATAAACTGTCAAGTGTTAAATGCGGAGCAAAATGGATTACCAAAAAATACCATCAGTGTTGGAAAAAGCTGAAAAAATAGTGGAGGATAATACAAAACATCCCGAAGCTTTCTTAACGTAATTTTTTTAGAACAGTTTTTTGAATGCATTTCTTTTTTAATTTGATTGATTTATTTATTTTCATTTTATTTCATTCCAGTCCTCAAGATGATGTGGCTAGTAAATTCACACAGGTCACAAAACTACTGTATGACTCAATACCATCAAAGGATATCAATGCCCTACCAGAATTGCTTACAGAGAATTTTGATTACGAGCAAGTTTTCCAGCAACTTGAGCTCTTGAATGAATCTCAGTTAGGTAGCTTCAAAGTGGGTAAAATTTCACAAACTTTAATGGGTATAAAAGCTTCAAAACTTCCTTTAAGCCCTACCAGACCCAATGACAGTCCTATAAATTCTGAGACTGAAAATGATCAAGATTTAGAAGGTGACAATGACGAAGAAGATCTTGACAATGAGAGCGAGGAAGAAGATAATGCTAATCATGATGATTTTGATGAAGAAAATTCAGATTCTGATGAAGAGTCTAATGATGAAAATTTGAACAGTGAAAATATTGCTGTAAATCCAAAAAAAAGGAAAAAATCTGAGGTAGACGATAAATTTTTCAAATTAGATCAATTAGATGAGTTTTTAAAAAATGAAGATCAAAAGGAGTACAAGAAAAATAAAAAATCGACTGAAAGTTCTGATGAAGATGAATTAGGTTCTGTTGATATGGACATGTTTAAGGCATTGGATGATGAAGATGGCGCAGAAATTAAATACAACGATTTCTTTGACTATCCGGAGAGTGACGAAGAAGATAAACCAGACAAGAAAAAAGTTCGATTTGATCTTGGGAATGAAGAAGATGACAATGAAAGTGATGAAGACAAAGAAGATGGTGGATTCGAAGATAAAGATGTTGAAATGGATGATGATCAAAATGATGATAATAGTAAAAAAGCTCCGTTAAATCTGTTTGAATCAAATGAAGCTTCAGATGAAGAAGAAAGTGCCCCTAAGTCAACATTAGAAATTAAGCAAGAAAGATTGAAGAAGAAAATAAAGCACTTGGAAGAAGCAGCTATTTCTGAAAAGCCATGGCAGTTGCAAGGACAAGTGAGTGCTCAATCAAGGCCAGAAAATTCCCTTTTAGAAAATTATGTAGAATTTGATGCTGGATCAAGACCAGCACTTATCACAACTCAAGAAACAAATATATCAATAGAAGATATTATAATACAAAGAATTAAAGACAAAGCGTGGGATGATGTTGTTAAGAAGTATAAAACGATTGAAACACCTGTAGAGTTTAAGAAAAAGCTTGTTATGAATCAAGAAAAGAGCAAGGAAAGTTTAGCTCAAATTTATGAAAATGAATACATTAAACAACGAGAGGCTCTTAATCCAGAAGATCCAGAAGAGCGACAAGAGGAAGAACCTAAAGAGCATATTGAACTAAAGGAAAGAATGCATGCTCTAATAAAAAAATTAGATGCATTATGCAATTATCATTACACTCCTAAAGTGGTAAGTATTCATTCATTTGTCATAATAACTGTTCAAGTAACTTGAAAATAATGAAAAAAAATTATCTTAGGCTAAACCAGAGGTGAAAATTATTAGCAATGTACCAGCTGTTTCTATGGAAGAGGTTGCTCCAGTCGCGACTACAGATGCTACACTTCTTGCTCCAGAGGAAGTTAGAGGTTGGTTTAATATTCTCATTATTTATTTAAAAAACCACATATTGTAAATTATTTGCAAATAAACTAATCTCGATCAAATTTAATTACAGCTAAGGAGAAGAGTGCACCTCTTGGAGAAACTGAAAAAACAAAGACCGACAAAAAGAGAGAAAGAAGGAAGAAGAAGCGTAAGCAACATGCACATGCTGTTCGTGCAGAAAAGAAAGCAGCACAAGGCTATGTGTCTAAATCAATCAAAGATTTGAAGGGAAGAAATATTGTTCACGCCGAAAATGATAAAAATAATGAGAAGCCTATTAAATCGTCGACGGCATTCTTTGCAAAGTTACAAGATCAAGCAACAAATGCTATAAACCTTAAAACAAAATCATCTGCCAAAAAAACAAAACCTGTTTTAAGTGCTAAAAAATTGAAGTTGTAGATGTTTCCAATGTTATCATTATGTGGTTATGTAAATAGTTGTAAATAGTGCATTTATTTAAATACAATTTTTCACGCTATTAATATAAATGTACTTTCTTGAAACGATCCCAAAAAATACCCCGAATACCAGAATATTATACTATTAAAATCGAGGGACTGGAATTTAAAAAATTAGATCTATTTTTAACTTATATATAAATAAATGTGTAACGAATGCCTCTATTTATTTATTATTTAAAGTTTTAAATATTTGTAAACTTCTATCGTCTTTTTAAAATAAATGTTTAAATTGATAAATTTAATTCATAATTTCAAAAAAACTTTACTTGGATCGTAATGATTTCGAAGGTGAACTGTCAAATACTACTCATGCACAATAAGAAAAAATTTAAGAGCTTTTATCAGCATTTGACAAGCTACATAATCCCGAACATTTGTTTGTTGTTTTATATCATATTAATTCTAAAACTCATGTGACAGTAACTTTTCTTAAAATAATTTCAACTCGCGGGAAAATTGTCCGTAATAAATATATTCCGTAGACATCGATTCAAAAATCGAGTGTGCACTGTGCAGTCTGTTTACGCGCAAGCACGTCACTGCAAAGATGATTTTTTATGTTTCAATGGAAAATGGATTTTTCCACGTGTTTTGAGTTGTCAAGATGAAAAGAAGAAGATATTATTGCGAGCTTAAATAAAAAAGATAACTTATCAGGACTGTAGCAGCATTCCGAATAAATGCAAGGTGTATGATCTATACTTAGTTATAATATTAAACTTATCGGTTTGTTAACTGTGGAAAAAACTATGCAGTAATTTTTTCCAAATTATACACATTATTGAATCCAAATAATTTTTCCTTAACTTCTAACATTCAATATTTTTTTCCAAACTTTTATTCGCCCTGTACGTCACAACTGAGTCACCCGTGGTGTTATGACTTTATTCAAAAACCGATCGCCGCGACGGCGAGGCGCTAATATAGACCCGGGCGCAAGCGCTTTGACAGCTCCCCAGAAATGGAGAAAATTTGTACTTGTTTTGCACATGTAAATCTCAATGACTATATGATCTAAGTATTATAGCAGGTATATTCTTCTTAGACTGTTAACGCCAGAAAGGAAGGAAGAAGACGAATAAGCAACTGTGCCATAAAGCTCATTATTTATCTCAACCTTTGAAGCGAAGGTTAAACTTGTTTGCGGTTATTCTTGTAAAGAGTTCAAAGACATGTCTTCAAAAAATAAGAACAAGTTCTTTAACAACAGGCGTAAACGTAATGTTATTAGCAAAGCTGAAAGATACCGAATGGAGAGTGATAGTGGTATTCTTGAAAATGAAGGTAAAATCTAGTTATAACCACAAAATTTTGTTATTATAACTTGTCATTGATCATAATCATGCTTTTAATTTTCTAGATTTAGAAGAAGCACCTGCTAAGCAACACGTACCATTTCCAGTGGTTATGTGGGATTATGGGCAGTGTGATTCAAAAAAATGCTCTGGTAGGAAGCTTGCGAAACATAATTTGATCAAAGTTTTACGGTCCAATACAAATTTTAAAGGATTGGTACTTCCACCCTCACCAAATGCGGTTGGTTTTTTTAAAATCATTTTTTACATTACCTTTCTTGATTGCGAATAACCAAATTTATTTTTGTACTGTTGTCTGCAGGAAGTACTAACTCCTCAGGACAAAGATTTTATTCAAGAACAGGGTTTAGCTGTGGTTGATTGTAGTTGGGCTCGCTTTGAAGAAATTCCACTTGGTCATATAAAATTCAAGAACTCAAGAACTCTTCCCTTCTTAGTTGCTGCCAATCCTATAAATTATGGTCATCCATACAAATTAAGCTGCGTTGAAGCAATTGCAGCAGCTCTGTACATAACTGGCTTCAAAGAAGAAGCTGAATTTTACTTGGGTAAATTTTCATGGGGTCATTCATTCCTATCTCTCAATGAAGAATTACTTGAGGGCTACTCAGCTTGTGCAAATTTAGACGAAATGAAACAAGTAGAGGAAGACTTTGTGGAGGAAGCTCGTAAGGAAAGGCAGAGACAACTTGGTAAATATTATCATTAAAAATCAACATTATTTGTACCTAATAGACATTGTAATGAAATTTCCAATTAAAATTGTAGATATACCAGATTTTCCTATTGAACATTGTAATGAATCTGATTAAAATTGTAGATAAACCAGATTTTCCACCAAGTGAAAGTAGTGAATATGAAACAGATGAGGAAGCAGAAGCACAAAGTAGCAGCAAAAATGCTAAAGATGATAAGCAAGTTGAAGAAAGCACAAAAACTGAAGAAGCAGATTCTGTAGAAAAAGAAAATTCGACTGATAAAATAAACGAATCTGTAATTGATGATAGTTCAATAAATGAAGAACAAAATCAGCCGACCACAACAAAAAATGACGACGTATAGTATAAAATGATCTACTAATTTTCTGTAAATTTGTAAAAAAGTGAGTGCGTGCATTTTTAATTTAATTGTATGATATTCCATTTATAAAATTATGAATGAGTGATTAGAGCGAAAATTTTACCGATTGTAAAACGATTTAGACGATCGTTGTTTTAATTGAAAAAATATTACAAACATTGTTGAACTAATAAAAGATATATATAGAACCATGAAAAAAATGCTTCTCACATCTTATTGTGAAATTGATGCATGCAACGAGCGCACAGCTTTATAAGGCAAGGACGATCATGGCATTATGTGGTCATCTTGTAATCTTCGTTAAACGGTCTCCCACGCGTGGGCAAGACGCAATACATTCGTGCTTCATGCCATTAGCGATTTGATTTTTTTTTTATTATCTCGAATCTTTGACAATTTCAAATGATTAGGGATACTCGAAAGATTCCGAAAGAACGCCAAGTTATTGCAGAAAAAGCAAGAACTCGCATAGATGAAGCAAAAAAAAAACGAAGCGCTTACATCTATATACTAGAAGAGGAACTTGAGGCCCAACACTTACAAGCATACACACACACATATAAACTCTTCTCTCTCTCTTTTACTCTCCCGCTCGAGACGTGTTTGCAGAGAATTGCAGCGCATATACCCTCGGGTTTTCTCAAGACCCAAGCCAAGCAGTCAGTCGTGAATCGGTGATCGTTCCGCAAAGGTTCCCTTCTCTCGCTCGTTTCTTCGCGCTTCGCAGTCATGAGTGAGTACATTATATATACGTAGTACCGTAATACACCAACATCAAACCATATACACATCCGCTATGCCATAATATATAAAAAAAAACACGAGAGAAAAAAAGACCAGCGCGCAATAAATTAATTTGCATTTTCGCACGCCTAAATGTATAATAATACGACTTTTGACTTCCGATTTCGAGTGGCCTCGCAATGACGAAATCACCTCTACGGTGTACGATCCTTTGGCATGTATTACGTGTATATTGCATGGCTACATACAGGTAGTGGATGCTTGGAGAACGCGTGCCTTTTTTTTATTATTATTGCGAATCGATTGTAATTATGGTCTATAAATATAAATAAACACGCCCGTCTAATTTCATTATAAGGTAAACAAGCGAGGATGATTCACTCGAAGCTCGCAGTAAAAAGAAAAAAAACGTCTACGCGCTCCTATAATACATTATGCTCATGTTTGCCAAACTTTGATATCGCCTGAGAATTTTTCATGAATCGGCGAACCAGTCGTGAAAGCGTGCGACGCGTGCGATAAGGATTTCCTATGAAAATCTCGGTGCTCTTACGGGAGCGAGAGTGAAAAATCAAGCTAGATCGCAATTCATTATTTCGCTACGTTGGTAGGACGTTAAAAAAAATGTTAATATACACAACGTGCATTAATAAAGTCTCAACGATTTCTCTAAATTTCACACATTCTTCTCGCATAATATTCGCTTGTTCTTCTCTTTTTTTTTCAATATGGTTAATAACGAGTGCGAAAGCGAAAAGATTTCACTGCGTATAGTAGTAGTATAACGAAATAAGAAAAAGGAAAGAGAAAAAAAAATCGCCTTGCCTATTGAGAGAAGTAAGCAAGCGTAACAAGTGCGCCTTTGTGTGCGTCGAGCGCGTGGGTCATTTTTCATTTAAACTGGTCATTATGCGACTTAACTCGACGTAATGCTCGCTTAGCTTGCAGTGCATGCTCAATTGATCTAATTCGATAATCGCTCCTGCACGACGATATTTTGACATTTTTACAATAACAACACACGTACACATTATACGCAGTTGACACACACACATGCACACTCACGATGTAGCCGATTAAAAGCACGTGTACTCCTTGACTGTTTCAGAGAATTACTATTTCGTCAGTCTAGCGGTTATCCTCGCGGTAAGTTGGCAAATTGAAATTATACCATCCTCATTAAGCGCCTACTCCAACGCTTGAATCTCTTTCTCCAACTGCTGTCCTTTTGTAATTGCAACGCAATTCTCTAAACTCGACAATTATTTTGCGCAATCTCGCTGCTGCTTGCGTACATCGTCGCGATAATATAGATGCTGCTGTTGACGGCCGACGCCGGGGACATGCTGCGCAAGAGCATCGTCTTCGACAAGAACACGCCCGACGTCTTCTACTGTCCGGTGCACAAGCCCACGGGCTTCGACAAGATGATCGTCAAGGCCAAGCCCCTGTCGCGGCTCTGCCAGTTCGAGGGCGGCCCCATACCCAAGGACTACAAGAGCGACTGCTACAACGACGTCGACGAGACCGAGTACGCCTGCAAGGAGAAGTACAGGATCATGGTGAGTCGATCGTAATCGCCGATTCTATTAACGCGAATAAGAGGAAGCTTTTGAATTTTATAACAAATGAATAATAATAATACGAGAGGCTTTTATTAATCAAAACAATCGTCGCGCTTTGCTTTTTTTCTGTTCTGTGTGTCGTGGATGCAGAAACGGCTGAAGAACATCGACGAGCCGATGCCCGTGGACAACGAATACACCGACAAATAGGAGATTATACATAACAACAATTATGCGCATCCTAATCGTCCAACAATTATTATCCAATAATTAAACAAAAAAAGCTTTAAAGTATCTAATATGTGTTTATATCTGAGTAACGCTTAATCTGGTGCCGATTCTTTTAGTCATATATTAAAAAAAAAAGTATTATTAAAAAGTTATTGCGACGAGAGCTTTCGATTGACGAATCGGGAATTATCCGTAATAAAGGTCGATCGATAGTTCAACGTCATACAGAGCGTTGCAAAACGATTATTTGTCTGTAATAAGTGTAAAAAATGTATATTCCAAAAAGTAAAGAGAAATGCATTTTGTAACAGTATTCGAATAGTGAAACAATAAAGTCAATCTTTTTTCACGTTAACAATTGAGCGTTTTTATAATGCCTTGAAATGTACTTGCGCGCCTTGAAAAGCAACTAACAGAAACAACAATCATTAATTATGGACATGGACATTCAACTTCACTAATACAATTGGTAAGAGGTTTTTAAACTAAGAACCATATAAAACAATAATATTATAATAATACTGAACAATTTCTATTAACTGCCGCGAATATAGTATTAGTGTTTTACGAACAAATTATTATATTAATAGTAGTCAACTTAGATTTTTTTACGCGTGATTACTCGAGTAGTCGTTGACAAATTCCTTTGAATTCCATTATCCTAATTTACTTTTACACGAATATAAAAGTGAAATTTGAAGAGTATCGTCTATACGAGCTACGCCACCTTTTTTACATATAGTCATTCAATAAATCGAGGTAACTTAACTGTGAAAATCAAGTCTAACTAATAACACTTTTAAACTCAAATTATATCAGACTTACAATATTGTTCCAGATGAGACTTCACCCACCAGGCACTGATACGCCTTTCAATGATACCAAGCTCAAAAAATTCGTCGAATTTTCTAATGACGTTCCAGTTGAAGTATTAAAAAAAATTCGAAAATTGAAAAACTGATCAATTATTTTAATAACAAATATTAAGTTGCAAAATAAAAAGATTTATTTTCATTTTAAAAGTTTTTTTGCACAATTCATTTACAATTATCCATTTTTAATAGATTACATAGTATTTTCAACGTATTGAAAAAAAATTCATTATTAAAAATATTTACATAGAAATCTGTTCTATACTAGTGATGTATTATGATTTACTTTATTGACAATTAAATTAATTAAAAATAATTGCCGCACTCATATGAAAGATAAAATTAAGTAACAACGATATTTTACCAATTCATAAAAAATCTTGTGAGCATAATTAATTTATCGACAATAAAATCTAAAATGTCTTCTAATTACCAGTGTTGGTAAAAATCGAACCAATTTCGACTTAAAATGCAAATAAACGTACGCATATTTAGGATTGAAGAGATCCTTGAATTAATACGTACTAGGTAAGTAATGAATCACATGGAACATGAGTTAGTTCACGTTAATAGTTGACCTCGTCTAATTGTAACGAGGAAATTCCTTTTTGGAAAAGAACTTAGTTTCATTTTGGCTCAACAAATCTAAGTCACTATAGTCAACTTGAGCTCTTTCACAGCCACATACATTATCGCATTCACCGCCGCTGAATGACATTTTCACACCACCAACTTTCCCCCGTTGGACTCTCTTATTTGAGCAACCTGTTCGGGTGTGAGAATCAATTTACTACCGTTTGGAAGAACAAGTGCGTAGTGGCTGCCAGTTTCGTTGACTACAACGACAATTTGTGTCGACGACGGATTCGGGGGTTTCGGAGCTGGTTTGATAGGAACGATCGATATGCCTCCGTCCTCCATGCGTTGCAGCAGTTCCGGAGGCAAGACTTTTTTTACGGACACTGGAGTATCATCAACGTAGCTTTTTTTTACTGGAGGACTCGTTTTAGCCTTTGGTGTCTGCATATTGTTGGATGGTGTTTTAACGACCTGGATCTCTTCGTCACTGTCGCTTAGAACAATAAGCGTAGTAGCGCTATTGTTTGTCGCCACTCTAGCAGCACCTCTACCAGGAGGTCCAGCCTTCGTTGGAGTACGCCGAGGCACCTGAAATTTATGGAAGACCATTTGAGTAATGATCGCATGTGCAAACCAATTGTGCAATAAGAAAAGTTTAACTTACTTGATTTGCGGGGCCGGCTTTTGTCTGAGACGGCACCATCCTCTGACCAGGTCTCAGGGCATTGTTTGGCATCCTCTTAGACGCTGCTTCGTGTAGATACGACTGCTTTTGGCGTGAATTAAACTGTTGCGTGACGTTTTGTTGATTGGGAAGCGGTCGATTCGGTGACAAAGTCGTGGAGCTGATGATCCGCGGCTGAGCGTTCATTCGCGGTCGCTGTGTCACGCCACCGGGCCCACGGGGTCCCATTGTAGGTCGCTGAGCCGCGTTGTTAGGGCCGCGCGGTCCCATTACGGTGCCCGGTCGCGGTGGTACCATTCGAATCATCCTTGGCATCGGCGGTGGCTGAACTTGCTGCATTGTGGTATGAGGGTATCTACCCACTACTTTTCTCGGCCACTGCTGCTTCTGCTGCTGCTGTTGCAGGTTCCGCGTTTGTTGTTGTTGTGGGTACGCGGCGACGTTCTGTTTAGCTACTACCGACCCTACAGGCGGATTAACGTAGATTGTTTGATTGGGCGAAGTGTTATTGACAGTAGGCGTGCTCGGAGCGACGACGTCCTCTACCGACAACTCGTAGACTTTGCCGTCGGGACCGAGTGTGTGGACTTTCTCTATTCGTAAATTTTGAGCACCTGCAGCCTCAACCATTTGATCATTTCTTCTGATCTGCTCTGACTCTGTTCTGATAGCTTGCATTGTTTTAAAACGCCTTCCAAACGCTGAAAAATAAATAACCATAAGTCTAGATGTCTGAATTTGCAACGACTGATTTAAATTTTTCTCATGATGTTAGAGTTTGATTGTCAGCTGGAATTTTATTAGATCCATATAAAACAAATCAAATCACGACGTGCAATTAAGTAGGAAAATTCAAATCGATTTCTCGAGTTACTTACACATTCTTTTGCGTTTTTTCTTCCGAGTTCCGGGTAAACACCAATCTTGGTCAGAGTCTTCGCTCTGCTCCTCTTCCTCGAAATCAGATGTCGGTGATTTCTTCGATGACTCGGAGGTCGCAGTCGAAGTGCTAGGAATATAAGCCACCCTTACGTCGGCAATTGGATTAGCCTCCGATAACTTGGATCTATATTCCTCGTCGCTGCTATCTTCGTCAAACAGATGTTCAATGTACGACGAGACACCGCGCGCACGTAGTGATCTAACTGGTCGTTTTGTTTCAGCATTATCTTCCTTTTCTTGGCTCGTTTTATTTTTTTTACTCGATGGTTCTTCTCCGTCTTCCTGTTTTATGTCGACTTCGTTGGTGGATTTTTCGCCCGCTTCTTCCGCTTGCTGATTATTTTCGTTTTCTTTTTTGTTGTCATCTACTTTGGAATCATCCAAAGTTGCGTCGAGCGATTTCGCTTCGTTCGTTGTCTTTGCGGTAGTTTGCGACTGTGATGGACGTTCCGGACTGACCAAACACCAGCCTTGCGAGCCCGACCAGTTTTCACTTGACTGTTCATCTGGAGTTCTGTTTTGAAGAAAATCAAAATAAATAACAATTCACATAATACATAAAATTAAACTTAAAGATATCTTACAAATTTTCAAAATCATTCCATTCTTGTAGCAATTTATTTTTCGCCTTTTTTGTTGCTTCTTCTAAAATAGGTCCTACGTTTTCCATCGAATTTAAAAGTATTTTCATGCGTTTAAGAAGATCTTCTTCCCATGTCGGCCTAGTTCCATCGCCGCCTTTGTCCATAGTGATCGTCTCGATTATATCCCTAAGACTCTCTAGACTGTCGGCTACCAATTGGAATCTTGAAATGCTTAGATCCTTTAATAAATCGTTCATGTTGTGAACTTTCCATTCATTTTCATCATCATCATCATCAAAATTATCTTGCGACTAAGATAAAAATAGAAAATGCAATAATCTTTTCTCAAGAAAAGATATTAAAGAACACTCACCTGAGTTTGAGTCACTGGGATACGGCACAAACGATCTCTCAGCTCTATAGACGTCAGTTCCTCTGTGTCACAGACATCCGCGACTATTTCGGCCTCCTCATTTTCCGTTTTTACTTTGATCCTTTCACTGCGTCTCGTTGAAGTATCCAACAAATCCCCATTTCCATCCGTCTCACAGTCAGATTTATTTTCAGATTGTTTATTTTCTGACAATTTCTCGTCGTCAGATTTTGAATCTTTTGAATCAACCATCTGACTTTCTGAATTATTTGACTTGATTGAATCTTGACTGTCTTCAATAGTTGAATCTTGAAGTTTATCATCAATCATTGAATCTCGAAGACTTTCAGCAATCGCTGAGTCTTGAAGACTTTCATCAAGTGCTAAATCTTGAGAACTTTTATCAGTCGTTACTTTAACACTACTTATTTCTTTAAGTTTTTCATCATCAGTTTTCGAAGTATTAAGAGAATTTTCTAAAATAGGACTTGTATTCGATGATTTTCTTTGTTCCTCTGACGTGGGACTAATATTGTCAGTTTTGTTGGTCAAATTTGAATTGTCATCGTCAACGTCACCTTTTGTTTCGTGCGTTTCATTGAAACTACCCCCATCCAAAGAGGGACTGTTTGTTTTTCCTTCGACAAATGAACCATCGGTCGAATTGGAATTGGAATTGGAATTGGAATTGGAATCTGTTTGATCTATCAATTCGTTCACTCTCCTTTTGGAAGTCTTCTTTGGGGTCAAGCCATTGCTCCAGCGTGATTTTCTTCGTTTTTTTGGTCGCTTACAACCTTGCTTCGCATCGGACGATTTACTCTCTGAACTTTTTGATTCCATGGAGTTTTCATTTTCAGATTCAGTCTTATTTTTTGACTGAAAAGACAAAAAAATCGATAAAAAAAATTTGATAATAACGAGAAACCTTGAAATTAATCGATTACCTTGAACGAAGAAAGAATCTTGTTATCCATACTGTGTCTGTAAACCCGTAGATCGTTGTGCAGAAACTGGGGAAAGTAAACGTATCGAGCGCCGTACCTATCGACCCCGAGAACCGTCTCGAATTGGCTCTCCGTAGGCTGCTTGGCAATCTCCTCCTGAATCAATTTCCTCGAGTGCTGAGCCGTATCGCAGAGCGCCTTCAGCAGCCAGACTCTCTGGCGGAAGTTGAAGCTCTCGAAATCTCGGCCCTCGAGCTCCAAAGCTTCAGGGAAAACCGACCAGAATTCCGACTCGATGCCCAAGGCATCGAAGACCTTGACGGGCTCGCGCTGCTTCGCCTCGTAAATCTTGAACCAGCCCTTCAGCTTTTGCATGAGGATGTTGGTCCAAAATTTGTAAGGCATCGGAGGCACTTCTTGCTGCTTGGATTTCGTCGAAGGCGAGCTGTAAAAATACGAAAAAAAGCCAGTTTATCGAGTGTCGTCAGAACGTCTAGACCTGATCGAGGCGTATTATGTGACATCATACCTGAGTAAACACGTCATTATGTTGGCCAATTGTTGGGAGGCCTTCGGCATGAGAAGCATTCGCTCAACTTCGAACATGGATAGGTGAGATATGTGTAGCACGTCCTTAGTGAGCTGAAGAAAATGGTAGATCTGCGGCAGCTCCCACATGCTTTCCATCTCGTCTCGGAGACTGTCCGGGAGAATTTGGGTCTTTTCCCATTCATCGTAGTCGCGGCCCTCGGCCGAGATTTTGCGTTTTCTACCCTTTTTTGGCATCCTTGCGACTTTTCTGACTGTGGAAAAAAAAAGAAATAATAACGAGCACAAAAAAAAAATTTAATTGCGTGATGAGAGACAATTAAAAATGTTGAAATTCAAGGGTAAATCGATGATATAGAGATATTCAAGAGCGCGGCGCTCAACGGCGAGTGTGATAATCAATAATTTCTTCGAGGTGTAAATATTTACTTTGCTTGCAACGAAATAAAGGCCTGTCAAACCCGATTAAAGAAGCGATAATGGCGAGTTTCAAATTAACGATGAAGTATGCTCCCGAGATCTCTAATCGAGCATGTGACTCTATATTACGAAAGCAAAAAAACGTCCTTTTCAAATGTTTTTCTTGGGTTCGGAACAGTTGAAGTAAGGCGCCTTCGAAACGATGGCCCTATACTCGACACCCGTGAATTTGAAGAACTTTCAGGTAAATATAAGGTAAATAGATGCACAGTGAGCTTTTGCGTAAGGCGTTAGGCATTGTTACTCAGGAAAAATCATCGACGAAGAGCCGAAAAAAGGACTTGGATTTCGACCAGAAGATGACGATACCCTACGGCGAGAACAAAGCAGCCGTCAGACCGAGAAATGGCAAGGAGTCGAACGAGACGAAAAGTCACCTGTTGTTCGATTACAACCTTGGAAAATGGATGAGCGGCCGCAACGAAAAGCCAGTCCAACTTCCCATGGACAAAACGTTGGTCGTGAAGGACACGTTCAAGCAATATTGCGAGCAGTGCACCATACACGGCCTCAAGTACGTGGGCGATACGTCGCTGCCCTACGTCGAGAGGTACAATAATATGTTGCAGTGTAAAAAAAAAAACAATAACAAAGACGATCGACTTTTCCCGCGAATTCGTTATCATTTGTTTTTCAAGAGTTTTTTGGGTGCTGTCGTTCATAATTGCGATAGCCGGTGCGGCTTACTTCATCTGGCACCTGTACTCGAAGTTCGCCCTCACGCCGATCATCATATCTCGCAGCTCCGAATCCGTGTCGATCGATCAGTTTCCCTTTCCGGCCGTGACCGTTTGCAACATGAACAACGCCCGAAAATCCGTTGCTGAGGAAATTAGAAAGGGGTATGAACAATGCTACGAATGCCTATAGCTCGCATCGAAGGAATTTTTCCTTTTTAACCCTTTTACTCGTTCCCGCGATATTAGAAACGATCCGTTGCAGCAGTTTTTTCTCGACGACATCTGCGACACCAAGACCACGAGTCACGTGCCGGTGACGGAGGGCTCCGGCGACTGGGACAACATCTACGCCTTTCTGCTGAGCGTCTCGCAGAACTGCTCGGAGATGCTCTATCACTGCAAGTGGCACGGCAACACGACCAACTGCACGGACATTTTCAATCCCGTACTGACGGACGAGGGCCTCTGCTGCCGATTCAACTCGGTGCCGAGGCTGCTTCACGATCCGTAAGTAAACGCGACGAGCTCGCTTCGATACTGCTCTCGTTCGACTTTTATGAGAACGCGCAATTAATTTTTATCAGACGAGTTTGGGAAAATTTGCAAATTTCCTATGCGTCGGAAAACCACATCGATTGGAATCCTGAGTACAAGTTCACCGATGCTGACCCGTCTAATGCCATACCCTGGAGAGCGTATGGAAGTGGTTTGAATTACGCCTTGTCGCTAACAATGGATGTCGAAGTTGACGAGTATTATTGCTCGTCAACGGCGAGTGTGGGATTCAAGGTATGTGCAAGATCGTAGCAATGGAAAGAAAATGTATCAAAAACTCTCCCTTTGTGCCTTGTAGATGCTTTTGCACAGTCCAGTGGAGACGCCTCAGATGACTGATTTTGCATTCACCTTGTCACCGGGCAAGGAAACAAGAGTTATTATAACACCTCACATCACCGATGCTGATAAATCTATCATGAAAATACCACCAAAGACAAGACATTGCTACTTTCTTAGTGAGAAACAACTGCGATACTACACAACTTACACTCAAAGAAATTGTGTTCTAGAGTGCGAAGCTAATTTTACTCTCAAGTATTGCCAGTGCATGCAGTATTACATGCCTGGTTAGATGTTTATGATTTTGACTTAATATTCTTGAAAATATTTCATACAACCATAGAAAGCTAATAATATATGATTTTTTCAAGTTTCCAATGATACAAGAATTTGTGGAAAACTGGATGACGAATGCGCTTCTACAGCTAGAAAAATTATGAAAACTAAATTATACGAGGAAGATGATCCAAGATCAGTGTTTAATGTTACAGAAGCGTAAGCAAGCTAAGTAGTTTTTGTCTTTGAACTGATTACAATTTTAACCTATAATTAAAATAATTTTAGACCTAGCTGTAAATGTTATCCTGGCTGTAATGAAATTAATTATAGCACAGAAATTTCTCAGAGTATGTTGATGGCTACTTTTGAAATTCCTGAAGAATATTTTAAAAATGATGGACCATACTTTGAGTAAGAGATAATTTCTGCAGTATCTATACTTTCAATTAATTTTACTTTATTTTACTTGTTCTAGAAGAAACATAGCTATCGTTCATATTTTTTTTGTTGATTCATCGTATATGAAGTATACTAAAAATGAACTATATGGGTTTGCTGAGCTGTTGTGTAAGTATTCTAAATGATTAATAACATGTTTTAATACTCACGAGTAAAATTTTTACATGGAAGCAAATACAGGAGGACTTCTAGGTCTTTTCATGGGTTTCAGTATATTATCGGTAGTTGAAATATGTTATTATTGTACACTAAGACTGTGGCGGCGTATTTGGGATTATAAAATAACGAGAGATAAAAAAAATCAGTTAATAGTAAAAAGTTTTACAAAAAAAAATGGTGTAATATACCCGTTTGCTCAGTAATTGAAAGAAATAAAAAGATTTGTTTTGTTGTTTTGTAAAAATAATCTTAAGCCTCGAAGTATTTAAATTTTTTAAATCTATTAAAAACCGATACTTACTCAAAAAGCCATAAGAGAAATTCCAGCGATGATTATTTTTTAGATAAACACAGTCGTCTCCGAAACAAGTGACAACACACGTAACGTTCTACCCTTGGTTTCACTTTCAACACAGAGATTCATGTTTAGCCCGAAACAAAACAACTGAGAAACATTCCGAATTTTAAATTATTCGCACGAAGCTCAGAGCAGTACGAATGCACTGAAAAGTGTCAAATGTGTCAAAAGTTATTTGCACGTATCCATAAACAATAATAAAAAAAGCTAACCTCTAAACGAAACAATTAGCCGACCTAGACTTTCGACTCTTTAAGTTACACTGATTCGAAATGAAAACAAAATGCTATTTTTCATTGATAAATTATCAACACTCAAAGTTTTCTCATTCCGCGTCAGAGGTACACTTAGCTTTTCTCGTGCTTTAATGGCAAATTTCTTAATGTGCCGTATTAACTGTAGGTATTCGATTTTGGTAACGGACATGCGCTTCTGCGCAATAAGTATAAATTGATGGAACCGGGATTCGCGCGTCATTCGATACATATGTTGCGGGGAAGTAAGGAAGAAAAAAAAACAGATTTTAATGAAAAAAGTTTTTTTTTTTATTTTGTGACAATATTTATCGGCTCACTTATTTTTATGTATAATTCCATATATCTCAATTCATGTTTATACAAAATTCTAATTACATTAATGTATAGTGTATACATAGTGATTGGCTTATAGACCTAAAAGAAATCCGTCCTGCTCTTTTTTATTAAAACTTATAATTGCATTATTCATTCAATTGTTAATACAAGGAAAAACAAACATACTTGTCTATATGCGTGTTGCAACAATTATCATCACAATGAACACGTGACTTAACACCTTTTCGTTTGTGCACATACAGTATGTTTTACTATATGATACTTTGTATCTGATAGTTTACCAAATCATGACTTTGTGATATAAGGTACAACATGAATCAATAGGAAATATATATCCATAAATTCGTGGATAACAGGTAAATTCTTTTCTTCTCCGTAAATCACAAAAGTTTGTATAACAATTATTTTGTTAAAACTCGATATTATTGAAAAAGGCACAGTGATACTGTTTGAAACAAAGTCTGATATCAACCAAGTGGAAAAAATCTGTTTAAATGGATGGATACGAAATTTCAATCTGTTCCTTATTCAGTAATATCTTTATTATTTTCTACTTAAAAAAATGACTTACACTTTTATAGCGATTTTTGTAATAATATCTAAAAATTGCAATCACTTTTCTATAAACAAGAATATTTTATAAAAACATTTCAGATTCTCTGTTTTTTCATTAGAAAATTTCTTCATAGTATGTACAAACCTTAGTACCATTAGCGATAAATTATCATGATTACATATTTATTATTCCTAACAAACACCATGAGCTATTCACAAGATGCATTTCTTATGTAAAAAATATATTTTTCAATGCTTTGACATGATTATTTAAACACAATAACAAATTTTAAGTATTAGGTCACATTTCTAATTTTCCTTTTCTCTCTCTCTTTCCTTACATAAAAATTAAAGTAAAATGAATGACATGCTTAGCTTTTTCCTTTTTTTATTTACGTTCAACTGAATGAGTTTACTGATTCAAATTTTGACAGAAAAAAATTAATTAAACAATGAGATATTTAAAAGTTTCTATGCTAATCCAAAATACTGCAACAGGTATCAAGATTATGTAAATATTAAAATCAACATAATCGAATATAATTATTATGTATACAAAGGAATATAACAATATGGAAACAAAAACAATGCAATATACAGTACAGAAAGAAGAAAGAAAAATTATTATCGATCCCTATCACAACTAAACAATTAAACGGATTCATGATTGTTATTTTACATTTCACTTACAGGTATTTTATTTTATGTATAATTTGAACTTAAAATATTTCGTAAAGTAAAAAATTATCAATTCAAAAATATTTACCTATTATACATGATATTTTCAAGAATATTAACAAATGTTGCCTAGCAATAAATACAGATAAAAAAGAATGTCCATACTTTATCACTATACTTAAATTTGATGTTTTCTTAAAGCCAACTGTGATATTAATTCATGGTTCAGAAAACAGTGATAATAATCCATTTTATTTAACGAGTGAAAATAATTTACACTATTAGTAAAAAACAAATCTTTGACACCTATGAATCAATAATTAGTTAAATGTCTTTATCAATGAGGAGTATTATCAATGTTCATAAAATATATCCATTAGACTGTATAGTGATAAAATTTATGGGCATATATAAATTTTTATTGCAGCTGTAATATATGTTTCCTAAGTTATATTTACAAATGGTACAAATTCAAATGCCAAGAAAAAATCATTATTATATCATACACAGTTTTCATTTCAACTTTCAATGCATACAGTTAACCAAGTGATTTTAAATCAATTATTGTTGAAGAAATGTATTTTCAGTACCAGTCTCTATTTTTGTTTTATCTATGGCGACACTTGTGAATTTGTAGTGAATAAATTAAAAAATTATTTTTTGCTTTCACGGGATTTGATAAAATTTTGCTTCATTGTAACATGATTTAATTCGTCATTCAACCATTTAATTTATATTATATTATTGGTCGAAAATGTCAACTAATTGCATTTAAACTTTTTCGCTTTGTTAGTAATTTTACATAAATTTTGTTGCAGGCCAGTTAGCCATTATTTTTCCTTATTAATCAATTAAATAATTAACTTTTCAATTAAATAATTAACATTCAAATTTTTCCAAAAAAATAATAAAAATTGACATACGTCAAGTTTAAAAAAATTGTGTTCCTTAATAACCAACACCTTTGAATAGTTTCAATCAAACTTTTAGACGATATTATTAGTTTAAAATTTAACCAGTTCAATTAGAATTTATACATTCGATTTACTTGTCGACTTATTTTGAAATTGGTACACTATTCACGAATGATTCACTTCAAGTGGTACTTACAAAGTTGAAGGTAAAAATGTACAAATACATTGATTTATATTCATGTAAATAAAGTTGGCGTTAATTTACCTCAAAGTATTCTAGGCTTGTATCTTAAAAATTGATGCTACACAAAATATTGCACATCAAAAATATTTTCCGCTTCAAGTCTCTCAACGCAGATGCTTAAAAAGTGTACAAGAAGGGATGCAGTGATTTTTTTGGTATTAATACTATGTAAGACGTTAGCCCAGTACAGTAAAGTAAAATGTAACCAACAAGCGGATTCTTACTGTAAAGCAACCTTAAAAATCGACTCTTTTAATAGCTCTGAAAGTTTTTTTTGTAATTTCAGGTAATTCTTTACTGTGTGGTGGAACAATATGCATTGAGTCTATAAATTATTCTCGCGAGTAGTTATAAATTGGACTTTAAAATTTTTAAACAAAAAAAGGTTCATTATAACCAAGATTTTTCCTTCCTCACAAGTTTTCTACAAGTCTACTATGTCCACCAAAAGTTCTGTAATAAAGGGCCGACGCTCATTTTTGCTCCGGAAATGCAACCTGACATTTGTACACATCATCGAGGATCACCGCTTGACCTGGACCAGCTTGGCTAACGGTAACTGGTGTTGTAGCATTGACAACAACCACTTGAGATGGTGCGTTGCCGGCTTGAGCATTGCGATTCGCTGTTTGACCATATTTATCGTGTATCGCCCTGTGTCGTTTCAAAGCAAAGCGATCCGAAAAGCCAATTTCACAGATATCGCATCTGAAAAGAAAATGTTGTTAATACTTCAAGGTTTACAGACATTTTTCATATACGTTTTTTCACGCATTTACGCTGGATCGATAAGCGAACTGTGCTGATTTTTCATATTCATAAATAGTTCATCAAATATCGATTATATAATCTAAATTTTAAGAATGCAGAGTTTTGATCAAAAGAATTTATAACAATTTTGAAGGTCGCCATAGAATAGGTAAAAGCGCAAAAATACATTCATAAGTGTAATCAATTTGCAAAATAAAAGGAAAACAATAAAGCAAATAGTAATTTCTAATCTTTACACTATGTATTTCTGGCTTTTACCTACCTCATAGAAGATCCTCGAGGTTGACGATGTCTAGAGGCAATTTATAGCGAATTAGCAAAATTAAAATCTACTTAACCATATTTTTTCATCAAGTTTGTCCCAAAACGGAATGCTAACTCTTATAAAAGTAAAATAATGGTTATTATGACTTAATTATCTCAATTTTTTGAATAGCAACAGTAAGAAAAAAATCATAATTATTAAAAAAATCAGGCACAATTTCCCCTCGAAGCAGCTAGTATGTTCATCTTGAAATATAATTCATTTACTTGTATGGTTTTTCTCCTGTGTGCACTTTAGCATGATTTTTCAGATGAGTAGCTTGATTGAACGCCGAACCACATATATTGCAGCGATATGGTTTTTCGCCTGTGTGAATGCGCCGATGATTCCAAAGAGTTGAGTGTCTTGCAAAAGTTTTTTCGCAAACTTCACACTGGTAAGGCCTTTCACCTGAGTGTATACGCTCATGGTTTTTAAGATGTGGAGACTGTGAAAACTGCATGCCACATTGACTACATTTGAATGGTTTTTCACCTGTATGAACTCGTCCATGATTTTTCAAGTAGGCAGCTAGCAATCATAGTAATGATTAGTTCAGAAAACAGTTGTTGAATTAATTCATAATTATTTGTAATTCTCACCTTTTGCAAAAGCTAACCCACAAACTTCACATTTGAAGGGTTTATCTCCAGAATGAAGTCTTTTGTGTGACCACAAAGATGAGTATCGTGAAAATGTACCATCGCACACATTACAATGAAAAGGTTTCTCTTGCAATTGGTTGTTTGATTTACCGCCTATAAATGAAACAATAAAATCCCGAGCATTAGATTTCCACAAAAAGGGCCAGTTCTACAAATAAGATATTAGTGCTCGACGTGGATACAGTTGTGACATATGAAAAAAATTGTACAATGTTTCAATTTTGTTAGATTATGTGAGTCGCGTACATGTAATAGGGTTTATTATTTTGTAGATTAATTATTCCTTTAACATTGGTACGAACTTCAAAAAAAGAATACTTATGATATTCAAATTCATGATCAACTTCACGAGTACAAGTTTCTTATCAAAATAAAAGTAGAAAATTATTATTTTTTCATATCTGGTCCACGAGCATAAACAAGAGCTGATTTGTTGTTCTATCAAATTTATAAAACTGTCCCTTAGGAAAGTGGCTTTTTCTATGAAATTTGTATTATTTTCAAATATTGATGCTGACAGTTCTACTAAATGAATTAAAATGAAAATAAATTAAATAAAGGACTAGTGATGGTTTAATAGAGTAACATTAATTATTTTTAATTAATTATTTTATTAAGGTTTTTAGAAATAAGTAAAAAAAAACAATAAATAATTAATGTTACTCAATCAGCTAATCTTCAAAAGTTATCTATCTACAACACAAAAGACATGCACAAAACGATAGTTCAATAGTTTAATAGATGTAATAAGATGATACTCAATGATACTCAATGAGTAAAATGTATACAATTCAATCAAACGAAAACTTATCTCCAAAAAAGCTTTGGTGTACATTTTCCTCAATGATGATATTTACGTTATAATTACTGTCAACCCAAAATCTTAAACAGACCGTACTACAGTACCAGACTTAGCTAAGTCAGGAAAAATTGATCAGTTATAAAATAAAGAATATAAAATAATAAAAAAATAAGATAAAAAAAATAGATAGAAAAGAAATTTAAAAATTTCAAGAACTGTCACCATCCTAACAACAAACCGATAGGGATTTCTTTGACAATAGAAAAAATATAATAGTAAAAAAAAGAGAAAAAAAAGTAAATATGAGAAGACTGATACAAAAAATACAAGAGATCCCATATGATACTTCGTGGCTGTAGTTTTGAGTTAAACTTACTTCCTATGATGATGCGACCAGTTGCCTTGCAGCCACTACACTTCGCGAGGGAACTGATTCCGGATTCTAGTTTTTCACTGTGTTTACCTATCATAGACCACGCGATGTACGATCATGATAACAATGAAATGATAATTGGACATAAAACGACCAGTGTTATGAAGAAATGTTATTCTGCTTTTAATAATTTTCTGAATTTCAATACTTTTTCATAATTTTTACAATAAATAAAAAAAAATGGTAATACTTTTTATTAATATTAAACAAATTTACTTTACTAAATTTTAAAAATTATTTTTAAAAGATTTTAGAGATTATAAGAAAATTGAATTACGTATTTTTTGTCGTAATTAAATAATTTGTAATTTATAGTGTAATTTCAATTTTCATCATAGTATTTTTTGATTAGTAATAACATTTCTTGTGGAACATCAACAGTCACAAATATATTATGCAGAACTCACCAATGAAAATGATGCCTGTGCCATTGCACTTGTGGCATTTGGTAACACTGGTCACACCTCGTCGTTTCACAGGGTGATGCCCAGGTTTAACTTTTTTAGAAACACATGAAAAAAATTTTTTTTTATTGTTCATCAGTATAATTGAAAATTATTTTAATAGATGTGTTGGAAACTTACGTTTTTTGATTTTAGTAGGTTGATGTTCACATGGATCAACACTGCCGCAATCATCACACATTAGCACTTTAGGTTTAGCATGCATATTGGTTTTGTGACTTTTTAATTCACCAGGTAACGCAAAACAAGCTCCACACATATCACATGTGTATGGTCTTTCTGGTGTTGGTTGTACTGTAACTGTTGTTGGTGCTTGGATAACAACTTGTTGAGTTTGTTGTTGAATATTACTAGGCGTCGAATTATGAATTCTTTTATGATGATTTAATAAACTCATGTGTCCAAACACAAGACCACAAATGTCACATTTGAATGTTGTATTTGTATTTAAATTCATTTGATTTATCAGTGTATTGTAACCAACAGGTTGAACATCAAACCGATAACATCCTTTGTCATCAGTTGTAATAGCACCAATTGTACTAACAGCATTGGCTGGAACCTTTGGCAACATGTTGACATTGTAATAAAATGGAAATTCTGTTGTTGATTGACCTGACTTATCATCTTTCTTATCTGTCACATACATTTGAGTTTGTTGTGACTGCTGACTTTGCGCAGTTTGTTGCTGCTGAATTTGTTGAGGATCAAACATTGTTGCCTATGAAAATTATTACAACTTCAAATATTAACATTGCAAAGCACATTATAAAAAAAAGTTTTGTACTAAAATTTCAAAAATATAATGACTACTGATATGAACTAAAACTTAATTTGAGACAAAAAATATTGTATTAAAAATAAAATCAACGTAATTATTACTACTTGTACATCTACCAAGTACACACCACATAGATAATATTTGCTTGAAACCAAAGACTGTATTCAGAGTAATTTTATGAAATTTCATTTAGGAATATAGTTATTAGTTTCAACAGTAAAATATTCAAAATCAAAGTGGAACAAAAACAATTCTGTGCATACAGCAAGTTAAAGTAATTATCAGTAATACATTACTTGTCTCAAAATAATTTCTTGACTTGAGATTCAATCCCCCAAATTAGAGAAAAGGAGTTCACTGTGAGGTTGAAGCAGTATAAAGTCTCACCTGCTGATGAGAAAAGCTGGAATTATTTTGTTCTGTCTGGGAAAGACTGTTAGATTGCACTCTTGGTTGATACATCGAATACTATGCCGTTGATCGGATCTTTGCTACCTATTAACAATAAAATTTACTTCAAAAATTGCACTAAGCCAAATAAGTTTTTTACTATTTCTATTTTATAATTTTCCAACATTTTTTCATGATACAGATAGTATTACTACAGGAGCTTAAGGAATCATTAACCCAATAAAATTTTCTGCATTTTGTTAGATTTAAAAAATATATATTTGTAGCAGACATATAATAGAATTTTTATTAAAAAAATGAAAAACCATTAAAAACAATAGTAAATTTAATTAATTAGTCATCATAAATTTTAGGATTAAATGATCAATAAAATCATGATTTTTTAATTTATTTCTTGCTACTGGATGTAACCAGTATCAGGTGACAAAAACAAAAGCAATAATTTTCACGACGATTATTTGAAATTTTAAGCAGACTTGTTTCTACATTTCTAGGTATAGCACGCATATTGTTACATATACGAATACACCGTAGAAATCACGGCAAGTGGGTCATGTCAAACGAAAATTTCATGAATACATGCACTGCCAGTTGAAATCGTTTCAATGTGCTCTCAATGTCAGAACGAGAAACCACTAGCCAGGCCCCGCGAACTATAGCCGAGCTGTCAACAATATTAGGATCCAGAGCGGACTTTTTCGTCCATCGCGTACATCGGCATGCACGTACATACAATCATGTATACGTCATATATGTATAGCTACATCGTTATTGCGGGTTATAGCCGTTAAACGTACTTGATGTGTATATAGCATATATGGTTGATAAACAGCGAAGATGACGAGCGTATACGTCTATTGGGGATTGTTCGACTCCCGCTGCACACGCGGCCGCGGGAGCGAGACAGATGAACAGAAACCACGGCGACTTGTAATCGTAGTAGACGCAAATGGCAAAACAAGCAGAGCGGCATATATATAGCAGCCTGCCACAGCACAGCTACGAGAGCACAAAACACTTCTCTGTCTCTATCTTTCTCTCCGTAGTGTGTATATTAAGGATCCGTTGCACTTGCTGCTGTGCCTCACTTGCGCGCATTCACGTACATACATGCACGTATATACACACTCACATCGCAGAGGGTGAAAGAGAGAAAGAGACGGGGACACGGCTCGAGCTATCTCCGTGTCGTTTGCTCTTTCTCGCGCGTCGCGGCTGCTGCTGTTGCTACTGCTGGTGCTGCGGTGCTGCTGCTATCGCTATACCTCGCGGGCTCATGCAGTCGCAGTCAGTGCAGCAGTAGCAGGCTTGGCGTGCAAAATATGGCGGGTGCGAAAGAGAGCAAGACTCCCGAACTCGCGGATAAAGAAAGACGAATGCATCCGCGGTTCGCGCTAAGTCGTATCGTGTGTATGCATCGGGTATATGGGTATAAATATACATATGCAGATGGATGTATGTGTACGTATACTAACCTCTCAATATGGAGCGCGATAGAAAGAGAAGGAAAATGGCGTCTGGCCGAGCCACTGGAGAGACAGGGACGCCCGATACAGTGTAGATCGCGGCGAGAACTGGCCCGCGAGCGTTGGACAGAGACAGGAAGATAGTGGCGTCCTCCTCGCTCCGCTTTCGAATTTCCGAACAGCCAAGTCGCGAGTGCGCGTGTGCGAGAGAGAGAGAAAAGAGAGAGAGAGAGAAGCGAAGAGACAGAGAAAGAGAGAGACGGAATGAGAAATTTCGGAGCAACGAATAGCTGTTGTATTGTATAGGACGCTGTCGTTGAATTACAATTTTCGTGGCGTGTTTATTTTTTTTGAATTTTTAGCGAGCGAAAAAATTACAATATCCTTCCAGCGCCGCTAAACGTAATCTTTCTGTTATCATTTTCTGCAAAACATCTCGAAAGCGGGACTCGCGAATGTTTCAAATATACGGTTCCTTTCATTCGAACGGTTTTCGAAAAATCATTCCGTTCATTCATGTTTGCGCGGTATGTATACGCGCGAGAGCTTGAACCCTCTCTCTCGCTATGTATGCTCGAATATGTACGCACTCACGCACGCACACACCAAAACCACACAATAAAGCGATTAAATGTACGTGAGCGAATGACGGCCGGAGATCTACATACTGTGCTCGTACGTATAGGCGCGTTATAGAAAACGTCTCGGCTGCTCATGCCCTAGACACACATAGGCCACTCTCGGTACGCGCAAAGTGGGCCACACGTTGCATCTGTATGTGTGTGTCTATGTGTGTGCATTACATGTATACAAGTGAGATACAGGAGAAAAAAACTCATGTCTTCTCCCACTCTTCCAATTGGCAGAGAGGCACATTTATGTTATACATACATATGCACTTCGTACAGCCTCGGCCGGAGTATAATAAATGTATAAGGAAAAAAAGGAGAGAGAAAGAGAAGTACACTATCTTTTCTTAAGCATGAAAAAGGTACGAGGCTCGTTATTGTTATCTAGGCTGCCGTTGCAGCTCGGGAAACTCGTAGTCCTGTTTCGGTGGAGCATGATCGTCGTCGAGTCGTCGACAACGATACGAGGAGCTGCAGCACAATTGTCATTCATGTGCGACGTTGCGTACGATCTAATATAGTATACCTACGATCGTACACACGTAGAAGGATGAAAAAGCCCACATATACGAATTGCGATGTGCAAGTGTGTGGGTGTGAGTAAGCTCGGCTGCTGCGGCGGTATAAGCAGCCTCTCGAGACTAATTCGAGGTGCAGGATGTTCGGGGATTTTATCTTGCACCTGAGAATAGGGAAAAAATATATCGATTAATTCAAGATGCGTGATTTTTTTCGACGAATCGAGCATTCATATTCATTGTCGCGATGAGTGTACGATATATATTGCCGAAATAATCGTATAAGGCTCGATGCAATTGCCATGTATCGATCTCGAAAAAATTTTGACTCATCGATAAGGCGATCGAAACGTCAAAATGAAATATGCAATTATACGTACACGATCTCCGGAGTTTCTCTTCTTATCTCGACGTTTGACAAGTGTAATGCGCATAATACAAACACGGTGCACTTATAACAACGCACTCACCCATTGCAGTCTGTTCGTTTTTTTTTCAAATTCTTATATTATTATTGTTTCTTTGCGAACAATGTACGCGCGCGAAAACGTGAGAACTCCAAAGTTAAGTCATAATTTTTCAATAACAGGCAAAAGAAAAAGAAACTCTCAAGATGTCAAGAGAGAAAGAGAGAGAGAGAGGATCGAAGTATCGCACAACTTTGTTGGCATCGCAATGTATATATAGACGCCGGCGTCTCGCGAAAAAAAGTGTATACAGCACGAATACATGTATACACATCGCACAAACACATACACGTATACGTGCAATGATAATAAGTGTGCGTGTGAGTTTCAGAGAGAGAAAGAGAGAGCTGCTGAGGAGAGCGGCGGCACAACTTTCGGAGCAGCAGGACTGCGCAAGTCCCGGCAACCCGCGGATTTTGCTCCCGGGCAACATACACAACAACGCGCGAGGGAGACGCGGCGGCACGTATATATATAGCTCCTGCACCCAAGCAGTGTCTGCTTATGGTGAAGTAACAAGAAAAAAAAAGTTATAATACAACACGCGCTAACACGTATACACACACACACACACGCTCACACAGTGTGAGAATCCTCCATGGTACTTGATGCGTCGATCGTAGTTTTTTCGACTGGGTTTTTATTTCAGCGGTGAAGTTATAAACAGAGAATGATTAAAGCGCAGCACGTGGGTTCTATAATAAGCAGTCTATCAGTCGAATCGAATACAGTGATTAAAATTTGACGATTACTTCGATTTATGCTGCGAAGCTTATTCAATCGATGTGTCGATACGAGTACGAGGGTTAAATAAAAAATAAAGCGGAGTGTTTAACATCAAAAGAAAAAAATGTCTGCTTACACCTATTTTGAGCTTCAATTTTTCATTCATCGACTCTTTTTATGAAGTAAATAACTTTATTGAAAATTTGGAACATAATTGTAAACTTATGAAACGTTTCCGAAATTGTTTTCAACAGGCATGAATCGATATAAATATTATACTTGCTCCATCGAAGCATGCAAGTTCAAAATATTATTTTGCTTCAAGCGACCGAGATTACTTTCAAAAATTCACTTTCATATTGAAAAGCTCGCACCCGATATTCGGATTGTTTACGGTAAAAAATTACTCTTTCCAACGGTACTTTGTACCCCAGAATAAATTAAATTTGCAATCGGTTGCCAATCACGAACCGATCCTACGATAGGTGTCAAAGAATAAAATTGTTTCGCTGTTCTCGAGTCCGAGAGCCGGGCAAACTTTTGAATTAATCCTCAGTAAACGAATTTCGAGCATTTCATTCGCGCAGAAACGGTCCCTGTTGCTCTCACAGCGATCATTAGCCGAAAGCGATACATCATCGACCTCTTTTCGCCGGCCAACGAATTTCGACTCCCTCTTCACTTCTCTATAGGCGCGCACGGGCCGCGCGTCGCACAAAAAGGAAAAGAATAAAAGAGAAAAAAAAAGATCTCTGCCCCGGCAGACATAACCTCTCTGCTTATGCATCTCGAACTACGATGCAGCTCGAGATGCAAAAATGCAATGCGGCCGGAGGTTCGTGCGTACGGGCGGGCGGGGGTGACATAATACGCAACTAAGGCGCGCATACCTTCATAATCTATGTCTAATCTTTCGACGTTATATGAGATGTAAGTATACATACACTGAGCTGTCAGAGTTTGCGTGCTCGCAACGGTGCAGTGTGCAGCATCTCATCTCATAAGTAATACAATCACACGGCGCTGATCTCTGGCTGCATCGTGCAGATCATCGTCGCGTCGGTGCACGCGCTGCTTGTGTCCGTCGTGTGCACACACAGTCGGACGCAGAGAGAGAAAATGTATATCGCACTCTCACACACGTACGCACATAACAGCAGCCACAGACACACACTTTATACACACACTCACAGCTGCATAGGCGCGCAGTTATAAGCTGTAACAGCAGCGGCCAGATAAAGACAGAACGAGCGAGTGGCAAAATAGAACGTCTGTCCTTATTCCGCTCGTCGGCGCGTCGAGAGCTCGAAACGTCGTGTGCCGGTGCAGTCGGCACAGATGTAAATGTGTGCAGCAGGTATATATCTATGTAGGCTATAGCCTACGACGGCGGCGGCGGCGGCAACGGCGTTCTCCGTCTCTTTCGCTCGACGCGACTGCCGGGCAAAACGTCGCGCGCGCGTCTCTTTCTCACTGACGGGCGGCGCGAAATCGCGCCTATATGAGCACGGTATATTGTAGCGGTACAACGCCGACGCAAAAGCTGTTTACGTGTGTGTGTGTGTGTGTGTCTGTCGGTCCCCAGTCCACGCCAGCGAAGCTCGCGAGCGCGCGCGCGTTTCCATACGCGTAAAAGTGCAGTTTAGTTGGTGTAGCGCGAGAAAGAGATGGAAGTTGGTGTTTTATACCAGGCCACTGTATATAGTGTATAGCCAAGGTCGGCCATCGAGCGCGTGCGTGCGAGACAGAGAAGGAGAGAGAAGCGCTGGCATTCGCGGATCGAAGTCCCCATGCCGCTGATGCACCGTCCTGACTGGCTGAGAGTAGCGGCTGTTAGGCTCGCGTTGCAATTCTATGCAGTGCACTAGCGCGGAGGCTACTTTGCAATATTTCGATGCATCTCTCGGACGCGATGTAGCGGGAAGTTTCAAAGTTGCGCGTGAGCAAGAATCGGTTACCGCAAAAAATTCAGACTATAATAACGACGCCTCTTGCGATAAGTAGGAAGTTTCAGATTTTTAATGGGAATCATATCATATAAAAAATAATCAAAATTTGAATTTATTTTAAAATTAACTATTCTTGAGAGACATTTCCGATATATAATAGTCTGACATTTGTTTGCCACTGGCGAGTTTACAATACTCCATCTATTGATGGAATCAAAAAACACATGATCAAAAATGACACTTTAGGCTGTAGGATAGATCTTATTAAAATACAAATAAATAGAATATAAATACGTGCACGAGAAAGAAGTTTCATTTCGAAAAATAAAGCACACGTAAGATAGGAGTTGAATGAGCTGGTTCAGGGATTAAAAGATGCTCAAAGCTCCTATGTGTTACTGCAAAAGCTTATTTTAAATCAACCTCAACTTCGTTTCTCTTTTTCTCTGTCTC